GGAAAGACAGGGGAAAAGTCATGTGGAAAAATAGATGCTGTGCGTGGTGTCGCTATGCATGGGGGGCTGGTATAAGCCACACATGTGTAGATCCAAAATAAAAATACAGGTGCAGGAGAAATGAAAAGGCTAGCCATGAATTAAACAAACGAGTGGGTGGACTGGGAGAATTAGATTGCCACACTCGAGCGGAATTGGGGGCGGTCACGTATTTGACATTTTTAACAAATGAATAGGAGTAAAGCAATGGAAGAGAGGAGAACCAGCGCGTGCGATAAGTTTGCCGAGAAACTTCCACCTTCCAATGAGAGGTTTTTAAAGGCTTGTTCCACGCCTTCTGTCAAGGTTGCCACGTCCACATTGTTCTTGATGATGTCTTCGGTTTTTTCGCCGAGATCGGCCCCTACCACTACGAGGAGGGGGGAGCCGCTTCCGTTGTTTCCATTTGCGGCGTTTCCATTCGCGTCGTTTCCGCTTCCGTTGACCCTCTTCCCGTCGGGACTATTTTGCGAGTTGGCGACCTCCAGCACGGACAGGCTGCCCTTCGAATTCTTGATAGCTTTCTTGTTCTCTTCAATTTCTCGCAACTCTTCCATCTTCAGCTTTTCGTAGAATAAATTGTACTTGCTGGAAAACTCGGTTATCAGGTCTTCTTCCTCCGTCGAAGCCTTTATATCGGAGGTTTCGATTAGCTTGCCATTAACTAGGCTTTTGTTGCAATAGGTTTTGGCGTCTCGCGTGGGGGAGGGTGTCATCATAATGAAGGACTGAATGATGAATAACATGGCTGCCTGCGGCTTTATGAGCAACTGCATTAACATGGTGTTGTCGCTCAAGTCGAAGAAGGAACTCTCTATGAGCTTCTTAATTCCTTCATCGTCCATTTGACTAGTCGGTTCGTCCTTGTCGAACTTGATGATGTTTGTGTTCTTGAGCAGATCTCTGACCAGCACTACGACGTCCTTTGTATTCAAGGAGCTGATGCCATACAGGGGGTTGCTCAGTTGGGAAGTAGCAGCAGTGTTGGGAGGAGCAGCAGGGTTGGAAGCAGCAGTAGCGTTGGAAGCATCAGTAGCGTTGGAAGCAGCAGTAGCGTTGGAAGCAGCAGTAGCGTTGGAAGCAGCAGTAGCGTTGGAAACAGCAGTAGGGTTGGAAGCAACCGTGTTGGGAAAAGCAGCAGGGCCGGGAGAAGCAACCCTAGTAGGCGCGTCATCCTTGGGGACCGCCGCGGGCACGTTTTCGCTTTCGTTGCCCCCCGCGGTGGCGGTCTGATCGCCCTTCTGGTCAACGCTCACGTTGCTGTTCGTAACTTGGCGCACACCTCTGGACTGCAGGAAGGAGCCACGCGTACCCGTGGCATGGTGCTTGTAACTGCTCAAGCTGTGCATAATATCCTCGTTATTCAGGACCTCATTTTTGGACTTGTCATTGATCTTCTTGAGAATATTTCTCGTCCTGTAGTTGGTCAATTTCTCATGGATAGCGACCAATCGCTCGACCAATCCGCCATTTTCTAACAAGCGCATGGCAAAAAGGGGAAAGAATGAATAGTAGTCTGAAAATGCCACATACGCCTGGTTTAGTAACCCTTCATAATTAACCTTGAGGATTCCAAAATTGTCATACGAAAAACTGTTCGATACTAGAGTAGAATTATTTCCCTTTCTTAACTCACATAAAATGCCTGTAATGGTTTCCTCTCTTGTCTTTAAAACATCGATCATATTCTTGGACCACAACCTTTCCGAGATTTCTGTGACGGCGCTTCTAAGGTCGGAGAATAACTGTATGGATGCACTATAAATGTCCTTCAAATCTGCATCAATACAAGTGGACAGAACTTTGTAATTCTCTATGATCGTGTTAAATGTGTTTTCTTCGTTTTTTTTATCGATGAACGATTTGAGCAACACGTTGCTAAAGGCCACCTTGGAATTGCATAACTTTTTATAAGTAAATTCGTGAATTAATTGTTCGTACTCCGGACTTGTGCAGGGGAAGGTCAAGGAATTATTGTCCTTTTCTTGAAGACAAATGTTCTTATATTTTACTTCTGAACAGAGGTGATCGTCGGCTAATTTGCTCTGGAGGGGTTCCATGATGGAGCTAAACACGTCTTTTTCTTTCATCATTTTTTCCATCATTTCTTGGGCCATCTGTTGAATTTCACAAGTCTCTCGGTTGTCACCGGAGGGGTTGTTCTGGCCCCCACTCGGGTCATTGCTCTTTTCCGGAACTAATGCCTGCGTAGTGTTCCCATTTCGTATCAAAGCGTTTGCAGCGCTGAGTATTGCGCTAAGTAGTACTAGCAAGGCCGTGTTGCACTTCATCTTTTTGTATCAATGCATAGGTGAGAAATCGACTAGCGACAGAGGGGAACGAGTGGGTGCTTATATACGCGTGCGTGAATATACCTATCTGCGTTGTGAAGTTGATCCGAATTAGTCTGCGCAATCATGCAGAAAGTAACGCAAAAACTGCACGCAGAAGCTGGGATCGGGATCGGACTGGTTTACTATATGTGCTGGGGTGGCATTATTGGCTTAATGATTGCCACTTTTTTTTTTTTTGCTTATCTTGTCCGTGAAAAAAGGACTATCTATATCTATATATACATTTATTTATTTATGTCGCGTTTCCTCCTTTTTTTTTTCAAAATGTGCAAATTAATGGGGTGGAAATGTATGGCTCCTACTTTTTGGAGCAATTTTAAAATTTACGTCTTCGTTAGCTTAAAGCGAAATGGAAAATTTTATTTATGAAGACGCTAAGCAAAGGGATGGGGAAAAAAAAACATATATACATATATATAAACGAGGCAAATCGAACAACACGAAACAAGCGAGAGATCAATTCTGTTGTATAATTCGCGATGTAGGGTTTTTTTTAATTTGTTACGAGGCGAAAAAACACGACAGAGGGAAATTACTCTTTCTCTCAAGTGGCCAAGGTTGAATCAAATTGTCAGAAGGGTTCGTACGTAAGATTAATTAAAGTGTAGAACGATGAATTAAACGGACCACTCACTTTTCTGTTTTCAAATCAAGCGAACTAGC